CAGTCCCTGGCTAAGGTAGAACTGGCATTGCTGTGTGAGAGCCCTGCAGGTGCTGCTTTTGTGGGCTAGAGGTCAAACCTGCTCAGGTACCTTTTCTGTTTTCCACATGTCCATCATCATGGTTAAACTACCCACACACAGAGAGGCTTGAGAATGGAACTTCTCCTCTCTTCTTCTTCCTCTTCTTCTCTGGTGTATTACCAGCTGTTTTGGATTCTGGCCTCACTCTTGGGAGGTTGTTGAGCTTGCTAGAGGGCTCATTAGCCAGTAATTATGACAATGTAGAGACCTGTTTATTCACAGGATTGTTGCATGCTTCCTTCCAGGTCTGTACAGCAGCATCCAGTGGTTCAGTTGGGATTTCTCCATCATCAAAGTTCACAAGGATGGCATTGTGTGGGCAACAGGCCCTGCTGAGGCCAATCAGGTTCTCAGCAGACACCTGGGAATTGTCATATCCCTCCCTAAGGAGCAGCAAAAGGATCAGATTTGCCTTCTGCCTATGGCACACATGGACTTAGGGAAGAGACTCAGCTGAGTGGCCAATGGGTTGGTTTAACTTTGGCCAACCTCTGTATCAACGGGCAAAGCAAGATGGAAATGCAGTTATGTTTTTTTTTCCCCTTTAAAAGGTGCAGATGAAGGACAACAGTGAGAAAATGAAAGATGTTTCTTGTGGGAGATCTCACAGATTGTTCTTCTGGCAAAACCAATTGGAGCTGGCAGGGCACAGGTTGGGTGAGTGTGGGCACAGGAACATGTGGCATCGACTCGTGGCAGAAAGCTGGGCTTGTTGCACCCCACACTGTGTGATGTGTGCTGGGAGAGGCAGTCCAAGCAGTCACCTTCACCACATCACCAGGGCCCCTCACCTGGCAAATCCTCTGTTGTGCCAAATCAAGAAGGATAAAACAGAAGAAGGCAGCAGCTTAAACAGGTGAAGGCCTCCATCCCACCTCCTGCCCATGCAACCAATCTTCCCTCCATCCCCGAGCTCCAAATTTCCCGTGGGTATCCAGCCAGGGTTTTCAGGACATCCCCAGCACAGCTGAGCCTGCGTCCCCCCTGCCATGGAGTCCTTGAGTCAGGGTTGGTGGCACCTCTGTGTGTGTGTTTGTGTGTTGGAGTTACAGCTGCTGCTGTTCCTCCCGCTCATCCCAGCAGGGTGGGAACTGGGTGTGTTCATCCTGTCAGAGCCCTGGGGTGGGATAGAAACAGAACCAGCCCCAAATACCCAGGAGCCTTGAGGCAGCCTCCCTCCACAAAGCCGTAAGCCTGGCTTAGATATTGTGATTAATAATAAAAGAACTGTATATTCACTGTTTTCAGCCTGTAGGGTGCAGCAGTACCACATTTTAATGGGATCACAGAATACCAGGTTGTAAGTGATCTCAAGGGTCATCTGGTCCAATCTTCCTTGGCAAGAGCATGGTCTAGACAAGACAGCCCAGCACCCTGTCCAGCTGAATCCTATAATTGTCCAATGGTGGGGAATCCACCACTTTCTAGGGGAAATTATTCCAGGGGCTGATTGCTCTCACTATGAAAAATTGTTCTCTGGTATTCAACCAGAATCTCCCCAGGAGCAACATGTACCCATTGCCCCTCCTCTTTTCCATGTGACTCCATGTAAAAAAGGGAATCTCCATATTTTCTGTAGCCACCCTTTAAATATTGGAACATGGTGATAAGAGTGGAGTGGAATGCCATTAGGGGAATATTACATCTCCTATCTAAGGTCTGGCTGAAGTTTCTTCTTTGCTTTCTCTTCTATAGACTGTGCACCATGAGCTGTTAAGCTGATGCTGTGTTTCACCTCAGGAGTGGCTACAGCAGGGAACAAAATGTTTATGGAAAAGGGCTGTAATACAAAAATATGACACAGTGGATAAAACTGCCTGAAATTAAAATATTATTTCTAACTGCCCTCTGCTATGTCTTAGATACCAAATGACTTGCAGATCTTTTTTTTTCCAGGAACAGTGATGTTTAAAGTGCCTGAAAATGGGCTTCCAGACTATGGGAAGTCTTGGTTACTGAGGGCAGAAACTCCTTCTGAAAATAATTTGATTAGTGGAACTTTGTTCCAGTATAAACCAGAATGAACTATTCAGTTCTCATCATTACCAGTAAAAGTTCCTATCAGACCTGTGCAATGCCCAGATAGTAGAGGGCAGAATATGCTTCATTTCCTTCCCCATTGTGTCCTCTTTTATTCTTAGCCATGCTTCACAGTGTAAAGGATCCAAATTACAACCTTTTTTTCACATTATTACTGCCCTCCTCTGAAAAAAAAAACCAGCCCAAAACTCTTTCCTGGGTATTTTCATCCTTGGCTTGTGCAACTTCACCAGCTTTTATCTCCCTCCTCTGAGCCACAGCTTTTCCCCCCCGCTCATCTTTGTAATCTGACATTGTGATTTGTTCACTTGGGTGCTTGTTTTTCTGCCTGAAGAAGATTTGCTGAATCATTGGGGAGGAGGCAGGAGCTGTAGAGGCAGCTGGTGGCCAGTGATAAAACCACGGCCACATCCAGCCCTCAGGGTTTGCACTTGACAGCCCTTCAGTTGAAGGCCTGAGTCACATTCCCTTCCGAGCTAAGATTGCTGGGGACTTTGGGATTGAGGAAATGGGGCTGAGGAGGTGGCACCTCAAAAATATAAATTACTGTTCCTGATAACCACAAGGTTTGTGTTGTATCTCCTGCAAAACTAAGGATGACGCTGTGAGAACTTTCAGGCTGGGGGCTAAATCCTGCTGTCTGTTGGATGTTGCGCCCACTTCAGGGGGAACACAGAGCTAAGAAAATAGGAATTTGTCTTGGGACAGGTAATGGTATGTAGTGACTTATTCCAGACTTGCAGTAACAAGGTATAGTGTGAGCAAAGGTGTGCCAGGGCTCCAAGACACTCACTTGCCTCTTTTTGGAGAGAATGCACCAAATTCCACTGGTACAACTTATGCAACTGCAACAAGTCTGAATTCTGCCCACTGCCTAACATTTAGGCTGGGGCCTAAAATGCCTTGGTTCATTTTTTAGGTCTTTTACACCCTCTCTGTATGTCCTTGAGTTACATTCTCTCTCTTGGTTTCCTTGCAGTAAAACAGGGATAAGGTGTTTCCATCTTTGCCATTTTGAAATCTTTAGGCAGTATGAGCTATTGAAATACAAGGTATCATTAGTCTTGCTGACTCTTGATTAGGTCTTCTGCTCTGTTAGCTCTGTTAGCCTTTATTTAAAACACTAGGAAATGAGGTTTTTTGCATATTTTTATAAGTATCTTCCAGAATTCAAAAATAAAATCTTACCAAGAGCACGTGATACTTTTCCTAAGATCAGAGTTATAACTTGGGTTGTTCTACTTAGTTGTACTTCAAGGAGGTAAGATGGAAAGGTGGTTAACAAACAAGACTGAAAGTCCAGCTGACCTGAGTTCCATTTCTAGTTGTCCCTCTCAAATTTGGGCAAATATTTTAAAGTGAACAATGCAGGCTGGCAGATCCCAATGTCACTTTGATGCTTTATGGGTTTTCTGTGGGATTTGCACAATGCCACTCCAGTGAATTACTGCACATGTGGAGGAATTCTACCTTGCTCTGATCTGTAGATCTCAAAGCATGTCCATGTTTTTATCCTCACTTTGCAAAAGGGGAAGTCTGGGACACAGGGAGGGGACGGTGACTGGCTGAGATCAGTGACAGGTCAAAGCCAGGAACACAACCCTCCTTTGAGTTCTGAGTGTCATATGTAGCTTTCTCCATGATGCCACAATATCAGAAAAGGCAGCTGCAGTTTCTGGACTCTCTTTTTCAGGTGCTTCCACACCTGAATGTCCACTGAGCTTGATTGATTTACAGTCAAGCTATTCCAGGATGGATCTAAATAAGGAGCTGTGGCAGGGATGTCTGACTGACACACTGGTTTACCATGTCCACACTCTCAGGATGGGGCCCTTTCAGGAGCAGGAATGCTCTGTCATTTCTGACTTCCCCTTCCTCAACTGAGACAAGAGATAACTTCTATTTTATAAAGAGAAACCAGAGGAGTTGACCACTGCCAAAAATCCCACCAAAGCTCCTAATATAGAGGAGCCTGGGATGTAAGATAAAGTCCCGTTGCTTTAAAATTATTCAAGAGGCAGAATCAATGGGGAAGGGTTTTAAACCCCTAATTCCTCATGAGGAAGCCTTGAACCTCAGAGTTGTGTTGGCTGGTGCTGAACGTGGCCGTTGTACTTAGGGCTTGCTGAGGAGCCTTTGATGACTTAGAGGTTGCTCATGATCTGGAGAATAGTAGATTATGAGTTGGAACAGAATCAGCTGTGAGAAACTTGGCCTGAGAGTGGTGCAGAAACCACAGGGGTGTGACTCATGTAACTTCAGATGCCTTTGGATACTCAGCTCCCTTTCTCTCCAGGGAGAGAAGTAGGTGCATAGAAGGCAGGACTTTGGTCCTGGTTTAGGTATGTGCTTTAGGAGGAGCTAAATCACTTCCTAGACATGTTACTTACCAAAAAGGGAGCTTTTGAGTCACTAGTTCACATTGGAGATCTCCTGACCTACGGTGCTGCTGCAGATTTCCCGCTTCATATCCCATGGAGAGCCTGGGGCAGCACTCAAACCCAGGCAGCCAAGGATGAACACACCCTCCCAGCACAGGCTCAGGGCTTGCACTGGGGCCAGCTCTCAGTAAAATAGGCAGGATCCAAGACACCAGTTTGAACCAGAAGTGAGTGGGATGCAGGATGATGGCTGTCCATATGGTCTGGATGAGCAGTGACCTGATAACAGGTCTGATGGGCTGAAGAAACACGTGTGTTGAAGCTGCTGATGTGACACTGGTTCTATCCTGCAAGCCCTAACCTCATCAGGGAAACCAAGCAGAGGATGTGCCCTGCAGGAATCTCTTATTACCTCCCTGTCATGGCTGGGGTACATGGACAGAGCTTGCACAGGTCCAAGGGAGCTCATCCAAACACAAGAGAGTCTCCCTGCTATGATCTTCAGCTTTATTGATCTGGTTATTGCCACCCTAGGAGTAGACATGAAGTGGTATTTGCTGGCCCACGCTCTGGCAGCTCAGATGGGAATGGTCAGGTTTTACCCTCTTCTATTCATTCAGAGGTTTTTACTATTTTTCAGAAACAGAGCAATTATCTGTACACCAACCCTTAGTGACCAGTGCAATTCCCAAGTGGTAGATCCTGCTCCCAAACCTAGGGATAGCAGCATGGAGGAGAAGTGCTGCTCTGGGCAGTGAAGAGGAGCAGCTTGCTCAGTAAGCATCTGGATTGTTTGCTGTAAATCTGACCCTCCTCCTGGGCAATGCTACTAAGAAAACCTACCCCCCTTCACTCCCCTGGGCCCCAGTGGTCACATTTGCAGCTCTCCTGCTGCACTTCCCAGGTTATTTGCATGGATGGGGGCTCCCTGCCGGTGCCTGGGTGGCAGAAGCCAAGGGCTGACAGGCCTTTCCTGCCAATCTGTCTGTTGTTCAGATGAAGTGGTTGGAAAGTGCTCACTCTCCAGTTCCCTCTTTGGCTCAGGCACTCTGATAAGGCCTGGGCTGTCCTATCTTGCCCTGGGAGCTGTTCCTCCTCCCTAACAGGCTCTCTTCCCCGGCTGACAGTTAGCAGCCGGCAGTGCTTGATAAACTTATCAGACCAAAGCTGAGCTCAGTGCAAAACTCAGCTCCTCCCCAGCCTCAGATTTCCCCATTCCTGGGGACTCTCTGCTCTCTGCCTGCCTTGCTGTCTGGTACAGTGAACACTGATCACCCTCGGGCCAACAGGTCAAACTCAGCCCCAGGACCAGATTGAGAAGTGTTAGTGTTGAAGCAACACATTTAAAATGAGAGCACTGAGCACAGAGCATCCATATCCAGCTCTGTCTCTCTCCCTGGAATATTATTCACCAGTGGAATTCATGTCTGGTTTATCTTCTCTGTGTTGCTGCTCGCCCTGTCCCTGTGCTCACCTAGAGTTGAGTGGTTTTAATGCAGGTCTCACTGTGCCTGTTGGAGGTTTTCTAAGCCATGGAATTAGGGTGCTTTGCTGAATTAAGTTTCTATCACTCGTTATCACAGTCACACTCGGGTGTCCCAGCCCAGATCAAGCTCCATTGTGTGAGGTGCTGGATGTGGAAGATAAGGAGGGGCAGTCTCCTTCCTGGTATCTCACTGTTGAAATAAACAAGTGAAGTGAAAGGGAGAGGGGGAATTATTATCCTCCTCTCACAGATGGGGTGAAGCTTTCTGAGGGCTCCATAGTGTGCTGAACAACTTCAGAAATCCAGTGCTCGTGTCTTGCCCCAAGTCATACAGGAAACATGTGGCACATCTCAAGTTTGGAGCTGCAGCCTCAAGACCAGTGTGTGTCCATGGCGACTGTTAGTTGTAAGATG